TTTGTTAACCTAGCTGCAGAAGTCACAGCATCCTTTCTGCTGCTTTCTGCTCATAGAGACAGGCCTTACTGGCCACCCAGGTTCAAGGGTCAGGAATATAGATTGGTGGGAGGCGCAACAGAGGAGTTGCAGAAAACATCATGTATAGCTTTGGTTTTAACATAAGGGAGGTTACTATAAGGAGTTAATGCTGTACATAGTATTCTTTGAGTTAAAATTTTATCCTGGAGCTTTCTTCATTTCATTACATATTCATTCTCTGCATTCTTTGTTATGGTTGCATAGGGTTCTGCAATATGGCTATAACATGACTGATTTAAATATTTCTCTATGATGGACCCAATTTTCCTATATTTCGAAGGAATGGCTGCACTTACACTAGAGTGGATGGTGGCAGACTAGGGCTCTCATTCACTCTCTCTGAAGTGCTTTATTTCTGGACAAAGCCCCTGACTTTGAGATTTTGAGGGGTCTTGGAGCCCCTAGTTCCCCACAGCAGCAGAGAATTTTCCCTGAAATACTGACTGGACCTTTTCACCCCAGTTTGGGGGAAGGAGTCAGAGTTATCAGTTAAGGTCACCACTTTAGAGATACAGGTCTCTTTTTTTTTTTATTACTTTGTACCCAAAGAACTTTGTTGATCTTTGTCAACAATTTGATTGTTGAATAAATGCAAGAAACAAGTCATAACTAGGTGGTAAAACTTCAGAATATTCCCTTAAATTCTGATTTTTAGTAAGTTTTTCTTCTAGAAGGTGATGGGGTTATTTTTCTTTTGGTTTGTTTGTTTGATTGATTGCTGCTTTAAGCTGGTTAACCTAACTGATTGTCAGGTTATCCTAACAATCCTATTGTTTTATCCTGAGATAGGAAGGTAAATACCCTGAATTTTAAAGACTGCAAGGTTTGTGGGAAGTGCGAAAAGTTATTTTTCACTTAAACTGGTACATTTTATTTCGATCAGGTTGGAGTGATCGATTTTTCTCTCTACATTAAGGATGTGCAGGATCTTGATGGTGGCAAAGAGTAAGTTCTGTATTGTATGCTGTTCTTCACGTTTTTAATGAAATTCTGGCAAAGAATGCTCCTTTTTTAAAATTGAGGTATAATTGACATATAACATTATATTAGTTTCAAGTGTACAACATAGTGATCTGATATTTATATATATTGCAAAATGATCACCACAGTAAGTCTAGTTAACATCCATCAACATATGTAGTTACAAAAAATTTCTTTTCTTGTGATAAGAATTTTTAGGATCCACTCTCTTAGCAACTTTCAAATATGCAATACAGTATTATGAACTACAGTCACCATGCTGTACATTACATCCCCAGGACTTACTTATTTTATAACTGGAAGTTTGTGCCTTATGGCCCCATTCACCCACTCCCCCACGCCCCCACCTCTGGCAACCACCAGTCCCTGTATCTGTGAGTTTGGTTTTGTATTTATTTTAGATTCCACATATAAGTAAGATCATAAGGTATTTGTCTTTCACTGTTTTACTTACTTCACTGAGCATAATGCCCTCAAAGTCCACTCATGTTGTCAGAAATGGTAGGATTTCCTTCTTTTTTATGGATGAATAGTATTTTATTATATGAATATACCACATCCATTGATGGACAGTTAGGTTGTTTCCATATCTCGGCTGTTATAAATAATGCTGCAGTGAACATGGGGGTGCATATACATTTTCAAGTTAGTTTTCATTTTCTTTGGATAAATACCCAGAAGTGGAATTGCTGGATCATTTAGTAATTCTATTTTTTAATTTTTTGAAGAATTGCCATACTGTTTTCCATAGTGGCTGCACCAGTTTACATTCCCACCAACAGTGCACAAGTGTTCCCTTTTCTCTGCATCCTGGCCTACACTTATTACTTCTTGTCTTTTCGGTGATAGCCATTCTAATGGGTATGACGTGATAGCATATTGTGGTTTTTGATTTGCATTCCCCTGATGATTAGTGATGTTGCATCTTTTCATGTAACTGTTGACAAAGAATGCTACTTTTGTTTTTGTGTTGTTTGAATTTTTATTTTTTATTTAGCTATTTTTAATTACAGTGGTAATACATTCCTATTCCCATTGTTTAAGGAATTAGGCTCTGTGGAAGAATAGAGAGTACAAGGCAAATTTCCCCATTAACACTATCCCCTTGTCTCCATCTCAGTCCCACTCCCCCTGCTTCTTCAGAGGAAGCTACTCATGCATGACTCCTTCCAAGCCTTTCTTTACTGCCTTGCAGGTATATATTTGTTGGTAGTGTAATTTGCTTTATGGTTTGGATGTAAATGGAAAGGTACTATTATATATTTAAGTTGCCGCTAGACTTATTCTTTTTTTTTTTTTTTTTTTTTCAAGAAGATTTTGGGGATAGGAGTTTATTAATTAATTTATTTATTTTTGCTGCTTTGGGTCTTCATTTCTGAGCAAGGGCTATCTCTAGTTGTGGCAAGTGGGGGCCACTCTTCATCACGTAGACTTATTCTTTGATCCTACTCTGTCTTGGGTGTCTTTTCATGCCACGTTGTAGCTCTACCTCATCCTTGTTAACAAGAGCATTAAAAGAAGTTATCCTGGACGAAAAAGAAAAGAAAAGAAAAAAAAAGCAGACAATGTATATAACATGCTACCATTTATGTTATAACAAAAAAGACATACACCCATATTTATATGTTGTACTTCCATATACATGGATCATTTCTAGAGAGGCACATCGACCTGAAAACAAGGCCATCTGTGGGGAAGAGGTCAGGAGACAGGCACGGGAGGGAGTTTCACTGTAAACCCTTGCGCTGTGTTTGAATATTTTACCACGTACATCTGTTACCTGTCTTTCACACGTCTTTGTAATGAGAGCTCTTCCTTCTCAGTGCCTTGGCAGTGCACCTTACCAAGGAAGGGACCAGCGGGAATCCCATTAATGCTTCATGCACCCACAGTACAAGGATTCACTCACTTGAAATTTAAAATACATTCTTAATGTCAAAAAGAACTGGAAATAAACTGATTATCCACTGTTAAGGGAATACAGTCAGCCTTTCAACCTGCAGATGTGGAACCCACAGATATAGAGGATCAGCTGTGCTATGCCATTTGTATAAGGGACTTGAGCATCTGCAGATTTTGGTATCCACAGCGGTTCTGGAACTAGTCCCCCATGGATACCTAGGGACATCTGCAATTGAATGAATTGTAGAACATCTGAAGTATTCCACACTATGTATTATATAGACATGAAAGAAAAACAAATTTGACCTACTGTATAGTAGATTTAGAGGGATTTCCACAGGTATTATTGAGTGAGAAAAGTATAATACTGAGAAGTATATATATCCCATTTTTTAAAACCCCCAAATTCTCTAATACATATTTTATATTTTAATTGCATATACTACATGTAAAAATATAGATAGATATTATGATTATATACACATAGGATACTCAACAAGCTATCCGTATGTGTTACCTGGGAGAGCTATGTAAAGGGCAGAAAGGTAAAAGAAAAAAAATGACTGCACTGACCAGCAAATCCAGCAGCTGTGGCATGAACCTGGGTCACATGATCCCATTTATGTACATATGCACGTAAAGAAATTGGTGGGGGGAGCCTAACTTTAAAATGATAAAGTCTTTTTTGCTTTTTTTATAAAGATGTATGAAGTTTTGTTGTGTTGTGTCTTTGCTTTTTGCTTTTTTTTTTTTTTTTTTTTTTTTTTGC